TAAAAGCAGTGACTTGCTTGAGCTCTCCCATAAACCCCTCCAAATACCTGTAAAAAATGGCTCTAAACAAATTCTAGAGAAGTAGAACCCACAAAAAGACAGAGTAAAATGAATTTCCAGCCCAAGACAACTTGGATGATTGATTGGAAAGGTCTATCACACTGGGCTGGGAGAGAAACACAGTTCAGTGTGGGTGCATAGGCAAAGACCAGGCCTCAGTGAACCTAGAGCAGCCCTCAGAGGACTGAACCATGGGCAGCTGTGGTGGTTTCCAGACTTCTCAACCCACAAATGCCAAAGACAACTTAGAAGGTCAGTAGGAAAAGTCTGTGACCAGGGTGAGAGAAAAGCTCGGTCCCAGGGTGGTGGCTGCTTCCTGAACTTCCAGCCCACAGACTGAGGGGGAATCAAGTGGCTGATCATAGGGGGATGGCAGGGATCTCTTTGCTGGTGCTGAGGCAGGATTCCCTTGCTTTGCCTGTGCTTAGATATGGGTCACAGTTCTAGGTATTAACCCTAGGGTGAGGAGGAATGTTGGTGTGGTAGAGCTTGTAGTGGCTGTGAAGAGTGAATCCTCCTCACAATTCCAAGGCAGAAAAGAGTGCTTGTGGTCACTCACAGACCACAGCGCAGGCCAGGAAAGGAATAAACACCTCACCCTTGATCATACCACCTTGGAAGAACTGAAAACTTACAGGTCCCTAGAAGTATCTCTGAAAACAGCTGCACAAAACCCCTGAAGCTTGGGACAGTACATTCTCCACACTGGAAGTAAACCCCTATCTTAACAAAGAGTATAAAACTCAAGTAATTAGCTGAGATTATGAGCAAACTATGCAAAAAAAGTCAGACCACAGAATCTTTCTTTGGTGACAAAGAAGATCAAAACATACAACCAGAAGACAACAAAGTCAAAACTCCTACATCCAAAGCCTCCAAGAAAAATATGAATCAATTCCAGGCCATGGAAGAGCTCAAAAAGGATTTTGAGAAGCAACTAGGAGAAGTAGAGGAAAAACTGGGAGGAGAAATGAGAGTGATGCAAGAAAATCATGAAAAAAAAGTCAACAGCTTGCTAAAGGACATCTAAAAAAATACTGAAGAAAATAAAACCTTAAAAAATAGCCTAACCCAAAAGGCAAAAGAGGTCCAAAAAGCCACTGAGGAGAAGAATACCTTAAAAAGTAGAATTGGCCAAATGGAAAAGGAAGTCCAAAAGCTCACTGAAGAAAATACTTCCTTAAAAATTGGAATGAAGCAAATGGAAGGTAATGGTTTTATGAGAAACCAAGACATTGCAAAACAAAACCAAAAGAATGAAATTGTCTTCAATGTGAAATATCTCATTGGAAAAACAACTGACCTGGAAAATAGATCCAGGAGAGAGAACTTAAAAATTATTGGACTATCTGAAAGACACAATCAAAAAAAGAGCCTAGACATCATCTTTCAAGAAATTATCAAGGAAAACTGCCCTGATATTTCAGAACCAGAGGGTAAAATAGAAATTGGAAGAATCCACTGATCTCCTCCTGAAAGAGATCACCAAAGGAAAATTCCTGGGGATACTGTAGTCAAATTCCAGAGTTCCCAGGTCAAGGAACAATTCAAGTATTGTGGAAACACAATCAGGATAACACAAGATTTAGCAGCTTCTACATTAAGAGACTGCAGGGCTTGGAATATGATATTCTGGAGGGCAAAGGAGATAGGATTACAGCCAAGAATCACCTACTCAGCAAAACTGAGTATATGGAGACATTCAGTGAAATAGAGGACTTTCAAGCATTCTTGATGAAAAGACCAGAACTGAATAGAAAATTTGACTTTCAAATACAAGACTCAAGAGAAGCATAAAGAGGTAAATAGGAAAGAGAAATCATAAGGGACTTACCATTCCTACATGGAAGGATGATATTTGTAACTCATGAAACCTTTGTCAGTATTAGGGTAGTTGGAGGGGAAAAAAAATTATATGTATAGATAGATTGACAGATAGAGGGCACAGGATGAGTTGAAGATGAATGGGTGATATCTAGAGAACAAAATTAAGGGATGAGAGAGAATTATACCAGGAGAAAAAGAAAGGGAGAGGTAGAATGGGGTAAATTATTTCACATAAAACAGTCAAGAAAAGGCTTTGACAGTGGAGGGGAAGTGGGGGAAGGTGAGAGGGAATGAGTGAATCTTATTCTCATCGGATTTGGCTTAAGGAGGGAATAATACACACTCAGTTGGGTACGTAAAGCAATCTTACCCGACAAGAAAATAGGGGGGAAGGGGATAAGAGAGTGGGGGGATGATAGAGGAGAGGACAGACTGGGAAAAGGGATAATCAGAAGTAAACACTTCTGAGGAGGGACAGGGTCAAAAGAGAGAATAGGTAAATGGAGATTGGGATAGGATAAAGGGAAATACAGTTAGTTTTCCACAGCATGACAACTATGGAAGACTTTTGCATGACTACACAAGTATACCTGTATCAAGTTGCTTGCCTTCTCAATGAGGGTGGGAGGGGAGGGAGGAAGGGAGAAAATTTGGAACCCAAAGTTTTAAAAACAAATGTTAAAAAATTGTTTTCACATGCACCTGGGAAACAAGATATACAGGCAATGGGGTACAGAAATCTATCCTGTCCTATAGAAAAAGAGAAAGCGAAGAGGATAAGAGAAGGAGGGGAGATAGAAGGGAGGGCAGATTAGGGGAAAGAGTATTCAGAATACACGCTGTCTTGGGGTTGGGGGAGGGATGAGATGGGGAGAAAATGTGGAACTCAAAATCTTGTGAATATGAATGCTGAAAACTAAAAATAAATAAGCTAATGAATTTTTTTTAAAAATCAGTTACGTCTTCCCTGTGCAGCTAAGGATAAAAAGCCTCTGAACAGTGCGGATGGGCTTGCCCTCTTCTGCCCCCCGCTCTCTGACAGTACTGGCCTTCCTGTGCCAACGCGTTTCATGCTCTCACATAAGCTGCAACAGGTGACAGATTATTTTTGCCAATCACTAGACATGCCCCCAAGTCTTTCCACCTTGGCACCTGACCTAGTTCTTTATGCTGGGCCCCAAAGACTCTAAAAATTCTTCATCCTCTTCATCCGTATTCTTATTAACTGGCCACTCATACAGCATTCTCCATTAGTCATCTTCCAACTAGTGACGAGGACTGAATTAATACTGAAACACTCAACTCCATAATAACATGGGGAAAGAGGAACCAGGATGGGGAAGAGCTTTAGAGAAGCTGTGCTGAGCCTCATTATTTGATGATCTCTTTATCTGTAGAGACCTTCATGAAAGCCAAGGTCTGCAGCAATCCATGTAAAGTCAGCACTGGTGGCAAGTCACTATTCATGAAAGGCAAAGGCAGGGTTTCAGGAAGCTGGACTGTCAGCTAGGCCTGGAGAGTGCTCCCGAGATCGGTAAAGGTCAGCACGCCAAGAGCCCCAGAATCAGCACATTCATCATTTCAAGGAAGGTGGCATGACAGTTCTGGTGGCTGTCATGCTAAGTAAAAGAGACAGAGGACAAATGATCCCTGCCTGACTGAGAATAAACTACCATTCAGGGAATTATAACATGTCTGAAAAGCACCATTTGTTTTCTGGGAATGGGGGGGGGGGGGAAATAGCAACCAGGAGACAATTTGTCCAGTCAGTCCTACTGACGTTTACCTCCAAGCAAACATGTCAGCTGTCACCTTCTGAGACAAATGAGCCCATGATTCCCTGTTTCTCCATCTTGCTTTTGTACGTGCCTGATGCTACTCACATTCCCTTTTCATAAGTTTGCCATGAATTAACTACTAGACAACCAGGAACCAATAATTATGCATCATCCCTGGCCAAAATCAACACCTGCCATGCCAGTGGGCAAACAGTGCTGCCTATATCTGGCTAACATAGCAGAACTGCCCGTGTTACAGGATAAGAGTCCTTATTATTAGTGGCATAGACACAAAGGATTTTATTTTGTATATTTAACAAAACTTGTATGTTGTCCACATAAGTGGGGTGAGTCCAATAAGAGCCAAAGTTTTCTTGATTAAAAAAATGGACAGAGCAATTTCTTCTGCATTGTGCCCAAAGGGGGCTCTCTATTTTTATCAAGAACAATATTACAGATGAGGGAAGTGAGGCCTAGGTAACACGCCTTACTCAAAGTCACACATGAAGTGGGCTTGAACACGAACCCCTGTCCTCTGACTCTGAGCCTGGGGCTCTTTCTATGTCTCCGTCACCTACAGAGCTCCAAGACAGAGGTCGTGTTCCCCAGAAGGGATTCTAGCCCCCTAAGAGGGATGAAGGTACAAGGAAGAAGGGAAACTGAAAATTCCATCAAGGGACGGAGTCCTCGGGGCAGCTGAGTCCTCACTGGCTAACACAACAAATTTTTCAAGAGGGAAAGAACCTCCTTTTTGGCTGCTAAGCGACTACTCCCATAGTCCAAAGAATTCACCTACTGTACCCTTTTGTACTGGCCAAAGGACCCTCCAGGGAAACTTGCAGAGACTGCTCCAATAAGTCCCCTGGGAGTGAATCTGTGTTTTCTCAGAGGCTACTCTAAGTAGCTAATTGCTATTACTGCTGCTGCTGCTGTCTTCCCTTAGCCAGGGACATCTGTCTAACAAATTGATTTCATACATATTCTCATCTGATCCTCTCAAGCACTGGATGAGATCAGTCAAGCAGGCATTATTATTCCCATTTTAAAGATGAAAAGGCTGGGGCTCAGAGAAATTGAGGGTCCACAACTCATAAACGGCAAGACAGGCCTCAAACCAGACCCCGAGTCTTGTGGCCTTTCCACTGTTCTCTGCTCGATGGACCCCCTCATTCTAATGATCAGCAAATAAAGCTTCACAATGGACATATTTTTTTACTAGAAACATCTCCCTTCTTTTCAATATCAGATATAAAATATTAAATTGTACATTCATAATTACTTTGCTATCATAACAACCATCACTACTGAAATGAAAGCATGCAGTGTAGAACTCACCAATTTTCTGATTGAAAATCTTGTCAAATGTTAATTCACCTCTCTCATTAAGATACTTCTGCATTAAATTCCGGATACTGAAAAACAACAGGGAAGCATATTCTTAGGAAAATAAACTGAATTTTGAGGGGAAAAAATCCTAGGATCAAAAGTAAATACAACCCCTTCAGTTCAAGGATAGAGCTCTGGGATAAGAATAGGAACCAAGGAAACTGGGAACCTAATGCCAGCTCTTCACTCAACAACTGTACCTGGGCCTCAGTTTCCCCACCTCTAAAATGAGAAGGCTGAACCAAACACCCTTCCAGTTTTACCATTCTTTAATCTATCAACTAAGTGAAGTCTTGGGCCTGTAAAATACCTCTAAAGAAGTGAAATAATATAAAATAGCTGCTTTGTATACAAGCTAAGAGATACAGTCCTGGCTTTTAGGTTTTTATCTCAGTATTGCAACTGAAGGTAAGATTTATATAGAAACCATGTAATGGGAATTAAAGAAAGTTTCATACTAATTTAAAAAAAAAAGGTAAACACAATCCTCTAGAAATTCGAGTGGACGAACTTTATCCTTTAATTTGAAAACAGAGAGAATCACAAGTTTAGAAAATCATTCACCAATTAATGTTCTCCATGATTGCTTTTCTCTTACAGCCTATCTGAGATCTTCCACACTGAAGGATGGAGGGTTTTGATGGGAGGGGAAGAGGAAAAGGGAAGGAAAAGAATGAAGAAATATTATTTTGACAGAGGGGCCACTTCGTCTGAGAGGACGCCTGGGCAGCGTGGGATCCCTGAAGTATTGGGCACCTGTGGACAGGGAACGGGAAATGTAAGGCTTAGAAAGAAGGCTGCAGGAAGGGACACACAAGGGCATCATAGACAGGTGAGGAGTTTGCCTCAGGCTGAACCTGTTGCTTTCATAATACTACATAAACCTAACAAATCATTTGTCTCTTTATGCTTCATGACACTTGGCTGTAAGACAGAGAGAGGTACAATGTATACTAACCTATCTCAAAAGAATTATTGCAAAGAATAATTAGTAAAGTCATGGCAAAACATCTTGGAAATTATATTGACATTGACAGTCTTGAAATATGAAGTCACTGCCCCTTGAAAATAATTATTTGTCTTCCTAGAGTGCTGTCAGGTTTGCAAAGCACTTATCAAACATCTACCCTGGGAGGTATGAAGTGTGCCCACTTTATCATCCCAAGACAATTCTGAGACTCTAAGAGGCTGAAGGACTTCCCTACGGACACATGGCAGGTGAGCAGCTGACACGTGGGGAGGAAAGGAGCAGACCAATCACTGAGAAAAACTGGCAAAAAGAGAATAACAGAATCCATGGGAACTGAGAACACCAAGTGAAAAATGGCCAAGGCAGAAGGGAAGAGGGGCCAGGCCAGAACCTGGGGGGCCACCCTCGGTGTGTGGGCATGACCTGAATGAAGATCCAGCAGAGGAGAGTAAGAAGGGCCAGTCACACAGGCAGGCGAGAACAACCAGGGGAGAGAGAAGAGAAGATCAAACAGAAGAGGGTGATGGACAGGTCCAAGGCTGCAGAGAGGTCAAGAAGAAGACTGAGTAAAGGCCATGGGATGTGGCAAGTAAGAGGTCACTGGCAACATTGGAGAGATCAGTTTCAGTGGCCAGATGAGGTCGGAAGCCAGACCACCGAGAGTTCAGAAGAAACAGAGGAAAAGGAGCAGCAACATGGACTGCTGAGGGATCTGCTTGGCAAGGAGAAAACCCACTTGTCCATAAAAGATGGGGCAGAGGAGACAGTGGGGAGGGGCAGCTAAGTGGGGTGAAATGAAGGAGAGAGGAGGGAACTGTCTCCATTTTTTAAACAAAATACGAAGCAAGGTTCTCATTTGAGAAAGAGGGAGGTGTGAGGAGGGACGCGAGTAGGAATGTGACTCAATCAGGACACATCAAAGCCTTGCCCACAATGAGAGCCCAGCTGAGAAGATATGCCCTCAATCGGCAGGGGACCCAGTCAGCACAGGTTCATCATTTTCTCCAGCTTCTTTCAGCAGCACACAATAGGAGCAAAGGCAGCACACAGTGGGAGTCACTCAAGGCTAAGGCTCTGCAACACAAGACTGGCAATTAACCATGAGGGCAAATGACCTGAAAGACTAGGACAGTGTAGAGGTGAACTGGTTCACCAAGGAGTCAAAATAGGGATGGGCAGAGGTGCCAGAGCAGGGGAAAGAATTGAGGAACGGAGGGACTGGGGGTCAAGGGGAAGATAAAGGATGGAGCTAGGGGCTGTATGGCAGAAAGAATGGTGGAATGACAAGAGTGTGATTAGATAAAGGAATTTTGGAGGTCATGGACATGAAAGAAAAATACTTATGGATGATGGCAGGATCAAAGATATAAGTCTGTGTGTGAAGCAGAGGCGAGCTGGCAGAGAACATCATGAGGGAAGAAGAGGCTGAGGAACCGTGCAGTTGGGGTGTTAGAGTGTATCACTGCCATGGAAGCAGAAATCTCCTAGTAGGAGGGCAGAAGTTGGGGAAGAATGGCTGAGCCTGGCAGGGAGGAAGGAAGGAAGGAAGGAAGGAAGGAAGGAAGGAAGGAAGGAAGGAAGGAAGGAAGGAAGGAAGGAAGGAAGGAAGGAAGGAAGGAAGGAAGGAAGGAAGGGAGGGAGGGAGGGAGGGAGGGAGGAGAGGGAGGAAGGAGGAAGGGAGGAAAGGAGGAAGGGAGGAAGGAAGGGAGGGAGGAAGGGAGGAAGGGAAGAAGGGAGGGAGGAAGGAAGGAAGGGAGGGAGGAAGGAAGGAAGGGAGGAAGGAAGGAAGGAAGAAGGGAGGGAGGAAGGAAGGAAGGGAGGGAGAAAGGAAGGAAGGAAGGAAAGAAGGGAGGGAGGGAGGAAGGAAGGGAGGAAGGGAGGAAGGGAGGAAGGAAGGGAGGAAGGGAGGAAGGGAGGAAGGAAGGGAGGAAGGGAGGAAGGAAGGGAGGGAGGGAGGGAGGGCAAAGAGTGTCCTAGAGGTTGGGAAAGAACAGCTACCAAACTCTTGACTTGGTGATCAATTTTGTTTGAATGAACCTAGAATGAGGAGAGCTTACCGAGGAATGGTAGAGAGTCTGGAAGCAACAGGAAAGAGAGTGAGCAGGCAGGAGCCTGGTGACATGCCGAAGCCCACTGGGAAATGAGGAGTCATTGGCACTGGGCCTGCTCCCCAAAGAGAACTGGGAAGAGCCTCCACCCCCGTTGTCATTCAAGCTGGCCCCTTCTTTGCAACTCATGGTTATGAGACAGTTTCTTAGAGCAGTAGTGTCAAACTCAGACAGAAATTATGCCACTAAACCCTACATAAAGGATCCCTCTGGCTGACACACTGACTTAGGAAACCACATAGGAACTACATATGAACATTATGTTTTGTTGTATTTTTATTTATTTTGTTAAATATTCCCCACTAACATTTGACCTGGTTCCTGGATTTCAAATGTTATTATCATAATATCATCATAATGACTTTTATGTAGCACCTCCTATGTGCCAGGCACTGTACTAAGCACTTTCCAATTATCACCATGTTTAATCCTCAGCACACAGGAAGGGAGGTGTTGTCAATATCCCCGTTTCACAGATGGGGAATGTGATGCAAACAAAGTGACTTGCTCGAGGTCACACAGCCAGGAAGTATGTGAGGCCTGACTCCACTGCATACCTTCGCTGCCTCCATAACAATCGTTTCCCAATAGCACTGGGTAAAACCAATCTGCTACAATATTCAAGGCTACATTCAGCATCCGGTCAGCACAAAATGTTCTTTAAAGTACTGGATTATCTTACATTCACTCTCTTTCACAAGAACCGTGACAGGGAGAAAGCCAAGGCTTTATTTTTTGCACTTTACAGATGAGGAAACTGAGGTCTTGAGAGATTAAATAGAATGTTAGAGCTAGAGAGGACATTAGAGATCATTTGGCCCAACTCTCTTCTTTACAAAGAAGGAAACTGAAGTGCAAAAAGATGTCCTGTCCCAAGTCAGTAAGGACAGTCAGTCAATCTATTCAGTGACCAAGCTGGGAAGAAGTCCAGCTGGCCTAAGTGCTCCTTCCAATGTTCCACTGTTTCCTATTAGGCCTCACTGCTGCCTACCAACCACCCAAGCCACTGCCCTACTTTAAAAACTAACAAGTAACCAACCAAGCCAGCCCGGCCCTTTGCCACAGCCTCTCCTCCCCTCAGACTGCCAGTCCATTGCCCTCCTCCACCCTCACAGCCAAACCCCAGGAAAAAAATCTGTCTACATTTGCTTCTCTCACTTCCCCTCCTCTCTTCAGGGTCTGACCTCGTCAGATGGAAACTCTCCGGTCTGAGGTCACCAGTGATGTCTTCATTACAGACGCATGGGGCTCTGCTCCCTGCACTGTCTGACACCCTTGACCAAGCCCTCCGCTGGGACACTTTCTTCTCGCCTGCCACTCATCCAGCCATTCCTCAGTACCCTCTGCTGGCTCATCACGTATGCCCTGCCCAATCATGTGCGGGGGTGCCTCAATGCTTGATCCTGGGCCCTCTGTTTTTCGTTTCTCAACACTCTCTTCTCTCCCTTTCTCCTCCTCCTCCTCCTCCTTCTTCTTCCTCTCTCTCTCTGTCTCTCTCTGTCTCTCTCTGTCTCTCTCTGTCTCTCTCTGTCTCTCTCTCTCTCTCTCTCTCTCCTCTCTCTCTCTCTCTCCCCAAATTTAGGATCACAGATTTGGATCTGGGACAGATGCTAAATGCCATCTCACCCAAATTCCTCATTTTACAGATGATAAAAGTGAGGATCAGAAAAGCAATGTAATTTGTCCAATGTCACAAAGAAAAACAAAGTCAGAACCAGGATTCAAATTCAGATCCCCTGACTCTACACCTAGCACATTTTCCCCAATGCACCACAAGACCATTTCCCAGGGATTTAACCACCATCTCCATATGGTCAACTCCCAAATCTATATGCTGCCTCAGTCTTTATTTTGGGCTGTAGTTTCACATATTCAACAGTGAATAAAACATTTCCAAATGGATGTTCTACAGACATTAATCATAATAACAATAATGAATAGTGGGGCA